CACACACACACACACACACACACACACACACACACACACACACACACACACACACACACACATGCACATACATTATCATGTCTATTGATGAGGAGCGCAACCTGCTGGAAACTGGGTCCAGCGTCCTATGAATATCGTGAATAAAGCATCAACCGGGACCCCACTCACACACTCTATTCGAGTTGTGTATAGCGAACATGACAAAACATACGTACAACATATTCACTACCTTACCTTTCCCAAACCACATAAACAAATGAACTACGGGTTGCGCACCCGTGCCCTCACAGTAAGTCAATACTGCCAAGCTACAAGTAAGAACCTACCGTTGGTCCATGCCTTGAGAAAGGAAGAGGGCCAACTCGGACGAAACCATGGGACCATTCCCACAGGGTACTTAAGCAGCCCGGGCTTTGTTATTTGTAGTAAACTTCCCGGGTAGCTCAAGGCGTCTTCCATTTGTCACATTCCTGGGCGGAGCAACAGCGGAGGCTCGGCGAGTAACCTTGCGCAAGGAGAAGTAAGCCGAGTTATAAATTTGAGATTCCTTTTCGTTTTCATGTGGCTCTATCGCCCGTTTTTTTTAATGGCTATTAAACTTCAGGTAAGTCCTCTTGAAACAAATGCATGTAACTATTTGCGTTTTGTTTATGTCATACCGAAATTGGTAATTCAGACACTTACCTTTGGATGTTGAACAGGGGGAATCCGATCAAGAGAATTTTCTTTCTCCTATGTACAACGGCGGAATGTCATCGCGAACTAAGTTAGGATGGCGCAGCGCTGGTTCCCTTAGGAACGAGTAGGTTATGCTGGCTCGGGTCCGGGAATGGGGGAAGTAGGAACACTGATCTCCTGAGTACGACGTGGAAGTTAGTCGACTGTGACGGTCTTAACCAAGCGTGAAACCCAAATATTAATCCTAATCCCTTAGACACACAACCAAAAGAAAGTTATAATAACCAATATAATATCTCAAAGGAATCCACCGTAGTTAGTATGAATGTATATTCAATCTAAACAAATAACTGAAATAATTCAAATCATCATTTGATATACAAATAACACAATATCGAAATAAAATATGACCATCTCAGGTCGAACTCGATAAATAAAAAATATACTAAATCGCCAACGATGAGTTGGCTTCGAAACAACTGTGATGCAGCCGACAAGGTAATCGGGCTGTTTTAGTTTTGACTTGATGAGACGCGCTTTCAAAGTCATTCATTCCACCTATCGCCGACTTAAGAATAGGCGCGCACACATATCTTCACACATTCATAATCTTATTGGATAACAGACTGCTTTGCAAATTATTTTTAATCAGGTGCATTACTTGAAGTGTTGCACGTCCCACCCTCTTGGAAGTGGTATGGGGTACTCCTCCTCCTCGCCCAAGCACAAAACTCGGATCTCATAAGTTAGGCTGTCTCGATCGAATCGAAAGAGTACCCTCCCGTAGAACGGTC